AAAGTTGAGAGAATGCGGAGACAATGTTGAGAGAATGTCAAGACAATGTTGAGAGAATGTCAAGACAAAGTTGAGAGAATGTCAAGACAATGTTGAGAGAATGTCAAGACAAAGTTGAGAGAATGTCAAGACAATCACATATCGGGGGAATATCAAAACAATTAAATGTCGAGACAACCAATTAAATGCATATTTGGACAATAACGACCAAATAACCATACAATAGCATTATAATAACCAAATATTTGAATAACAAAACAATAACAATGAAATAATGACATAATAATAATAACATAATGCCCAAATAACAACCAAACAACCCAATAATAACATAATAATGATGACATAATGACCACAATGATGACATAATGTCCACATAAAGACACCAATATAATTTTGGCGGTGTTCTCACCCCATATGTTCCACGAGGGACTGAGGTTCCACAACAAATTTCGCTTTGCTTTTTGACTGAACACTGTATCATCATGTTTTCTCCAGCAATTCTTGTACAAGGGTTTTTACTTTGAAGTTTAGTATGTAAACTAATGGAGCAATCCCCTGTCGTAGGTGAGTTTTAATATTCGGCTACTTTCTGTATATTTTTGCCGTGCCACGCTTTCTACCGGCGTGACGTGAAAGCACTGTACTTCGCTGAACATACCAATAAAATATATAACACTCTTTATGGTATTTCCACATTCAGCTGGCGCACAAATGATAATAAAATGAATGCGATATTTACTATATGGGGGCCGCCATCATGAATGGGGCATAAAACTAAATAAGAGACAAGTTGTGAAACGCGTTTTTCAGATTCATAAAAATCAGGACAAAAGCCAATCTTTCACAGAAATACGACACGTTGGGGGGGGGGGTAATATTAAGCCAACCGCTAACAAAATTCATCCGAATTCGTCGTTTGTGTGGAAAAATCCCTCAAATACGAACACCTAATTACACGAAGAACATACCGTAGAACACTTTCCCGCGGTACTAAAGTATTTGAAACCAAAAATTGTCACTCCAGCTCAGCAGCCAATCAGCGACGGCCTTACAGTTAAATGACAATTCAGTGAAACATCACCAAAATCACATTATTTAGAGTTGTATTTATAGTTGTTTTTGTTGCAAACAATCAAACAGTTTATTGTTTATCCAAAGAAAAAGACGACCCCGAAAAAAGCTTGGTCCAATGAGACGAACCTTTTCAAAATTGATAAAGCTTTTGAAGTTAAAGAAAATGAACCTGACATTTTGTTAAATGACCCATTTGGTGAGAACAATGTCAGTGTCATCAGTGACATAGTTCAAGAAAAGTCTGTTGAGGAGTTTTTGGTTGAAGGCAAGTATTTATTCTTTATTTATTTATTTATTTAATTAATTATTGATTTATTTTGTTTGTTTGTTTGTATGTATGTATGTATGTATGTTTGTTAATTTATTTATTTATTTATTGTTTAGTCTTTTTTTTGACAGATATACCGAAAACTTTTTATGATCGTGGCTTCACAAGTGCAACTATATATGGTCAAGATGGGCAGGCAAATTATGGCCATGAAAAAGTCGCTGATTGGTGAAAACATGACACGTGAGCAGCTGAATAACGAGCTACGCATCTTCAAGTACGTAATTTCCAATTAAAACTCAAGTTTACCAGAGAATTTTTGATATTATATATGTATTTTCGATGATGGACCCCTCCCCGTATGTGTATAGAAGGGATTTATTTAAACAAGGGAAAAGAGGCACAGCGCCCTCGTGCCATGGCCATGCGCCCTTACCCGGGGAGCAGATCCTCGGGCAACCATAAAATTCAGCTTGGGGATCACATGTTGCCACAGTCTTCAACTGATAGCAATTTTGGCCCCAAGGAAGCCATAGAATGCTAAATTTCAACTTATCTGGTAGGGAAAACCCTATCTTCCCCACTTTGTGGCTCCTCGGAATTGCAGTGCTTCGAGAAAAACTTCTGTGTATAGTAAATATACATTGGTTTCTGGTGTACTACATCTTCACACCTGTTCTTAACCATCTATGTATTTCGTATCTACAGCATGGTCACTCAAGATAGTACCTCGGCCTTCCTTCAGCTATGAGCGGTGTGCACTTACCAATCAACGCAATTATCCTAACTGATTTTATAGGAAGCTGACTAACGCTAAACAGTGTGGTTGCTGACAATGCAAGTAATTAAATAATAACTTTACTTCATTAGTTTTCATTTTCTTTTTACGCATCTGCTTATTAACCCTTGTACATCTAAAACATTGCCAGTATGTATTTTGCTTATTTTAAAGTTGTTACATATACACGTTAAACAATTACTGTAATCATCGCGTGATCATGGGTTATACACATATTATGACACCCACAATAAATGTCAACATTGTGTTTGTGTTACAGCTGAATACAAAGCTGAAATATGCTGTTCAGATCGTCAGACCTGTCACTTATCTACATAAAAAAATTGTGCATAGTGCACAATGATATCAAACCAGTTAACATATTGGTGAGTAATTATGGTGAATTAAATTAAAAAATTCTAGATTTGTGAAAATAAAAATAAGTTTGATTTGTATATTTGCGATGTTTTAAACTATTTTGATACTTTTTTTTGATTGCAGATTAACACCAACAAGCAAGTTGAGCTCATAGACTTTAATATGTTTGGGATGCGACAGCAGGAACTCTGCAGTACATGGAAGATGTACGAGCACATGTACAGGGAGGTACGGTTAACCCCAGCAATGGATGTCTGGGAAATGTGGGAGACTATTTTGAGCCTGATAACGCCCCCCCCCCCCAATCCCTGGTTTTAGTGATAATCCAGATAACTGGGCAAGGCTGTACCTCAGAGTTCCTATGCTGAAACAAGGTAGAAGGGCGTTTTTTGCCACATAGTTTTGAGATGTTGACAAAGTCAACCATCTTGGCAAAAACCCTGAAACAATGTTTGAGTTTCTGCTGTCGATCTTCTCAACAACATAAAACAAGGTTATCAACTTGAAATAATTAAAAATTATTAGTTTATGAAAATATTTTGTCATCTGAATTGTGTATAATCTCCTCAAAATCAATAGTTCAATATAGTAATGTGGAAAGTGAAATTGTTTTAAATGAAGTCGTCAAAATAATTCTTAAAGTCAAAGAACTTTTCCTAATGCATTGAGGCCAGTCACTTGGGGGGTTGAAAATTAATAAATACTATTTAAAAAAAAATAAGTCATCAGCTATACGCATATAAATGACTAAGGTATGAAACATGACACCATGGCGGTTTCAAATGTTGATTTACCTTAAAATGCGAAACAAATAATTCAGAGGGGATCGGGTGTTATGTTAATAATCATTGTTCATAATTGCTCACTTGGTTTTATTCAAAACTGTACAAATCCTGAGTTTTCTGATGATATCCGACGAATTTGCACAGAATTCTGGGTAAATCAAGGAAATACTTGCCGATGAAAATAAGTATTTACTGGGACCGTTGTCTGATTGAAATGAAGGCATGCCAGAGAAAGCATGGACATGTTCAGGATTTTAAGGGACTAAACTGAACACCAATCAGTCAAGGGATCAACGAAAGGAAAAACAAATCCATGTGCATAAACCAACTTAGAACAATATCTGTCAAAGCACATCAGAGATATGACAATGGACATATCCCCATTTCAACTACCTGGGGGTAACTACCAATCCGACACATCCCTGGAGATATGTTGAACATCTTGGTTAATTTATGTAAAATAGGTAATCAATATGCACAACTTTCAACCCCAAACTTGTCAAGTACCAGTATCCCAGACTACCATATTCTAATTGGTTAGATACAAGACAAATTTTAATAATGAACAATCAAGGTCCAATTGTTACACAGTATCCGTATTAAGTTTCATTGAGTGGTTCTTGAGATATCAGTGAAAAATGTGCTAAATATTATACAGATTTCAAGCACAGGCACAAGTAGATACAGTCAAAACTAAAAAAACACTTAATTGAGTTATAAAGTACAACATTTACAATATTGAAATTTTTATTGCGTAATATATTTACTTAATAGACGTACATGTATACAATAATCATCACATACACAGCATTTGTAAATCTGAACTGCCCGATCCAGTTTTCCCTCCAACATCAGAAAAAAAAGGCCTCAAACATATCAAATCATGTATGTACAATCAAAGATCAATTTGTCTTTATTAAATTGTCTAATAAAGTTTGCTTTTGTCACTTGCATAATATTTTCAAAGGTGGGCACATTATTTGCATGATAAGCATTGTTCAAGTTGATTCTGCTACAAACCAATTTGAGATAATGATGATGATTGTAAATACCCTCATTCAGACGAAGGAAAATTATAAGGCACAGAACAATAATAACAATGTTCTGATCATCATCATGCATGTTAATTAAAAATGTCTGCAAGATGATAGCCCAGATGCCACTAACATTCTTGTTACCGAGTTGGTATTGTCTGGGTACAGTAGAATGAATGGTTGAATGTGAAAGACCTGTGTTCAAAATACTTAAAACTACAGAGGCTTAACTGGTTCACAGGACAGGTAAAAAAAAACATGAATATGCAAGGCATAGGTAAATATATTTACAATGCATAGTAATTGGAATGTGGCAATGTAAAAATCTCTGAATAGACATAATTTCATGTAAAACAAGAACAAAGTACAGTACGCCACAGAAAAAAAATTCGTATATATATATAGGCAATATCATTTGCTTCAAAAAAATATATGGGCATTAAGCTCAACTCTGAAGCCCAAAAAATCACTAATGCAGCTTTGGGAGCATAGCCTACCTAGCATTGTATACAATATGTGGAATAACAATTTTGGGTAATAGACTTCACACCCAAGTCAATATTTGCCAGTTTCAATCTAGCGTTAATCCACCACCTTACTTAAGATTTAGACTATACACAATGTGACCAAAGAATCACACCCACAAATCATTATCGCATTTACTCAGATTTGCCAGTAAATTCATAAATAAAAATTATATTCTAAATAGACTTTCTGAATTTTTTTCTGAATAAATTTTATAGCTTTCAATTTATAATATTTTTTTCTCAATTAGTAAGATGAGGTTAATTAATATTTTTTTGTCTGAATATACACTAGAGTATGGTGAGTATGTACAGGACTAATTTGAATCAAAGTGCATAGCTAAGTCTGTATATAAGCATAAGCACCCAAGTTGAAAAAAACAAAGACCAGAAATGATGACATTTACATTTATAAGCACATCAAATTTCACATTTCTTTGCCCTGTTTAGTATGTAGTTATTTAATAATAAACTTGATGAGGATTTTTCTTCCTTAGCACAAAGAAATATAAAGTAGTTTTTCACTTCATACAAAGCACCAGAAAAAGAGAAAATATTGGAAGATGCATGTACCATTCCGGATCTTTTATCCAGATCCAAGGGTACATGTGAATGTAAAAATACAGCACGACTTAGTACCTATTTTAGCACCCAGTATCCAGCACTGCTCGGAAAAGGGAAAGCAATAACATCAGAGCGATAAATACAAACAAAAAATGTTATTCCACAAATCAACACAATCGTTCTACAGTTACTTGGAAGACAGCATACTAGTAATTGAAAAAAGTTTTCATTATAAACGATTTCTTTGTCTTTTTTTACATACACAAATTATACAAATATTTATTCTTCAACTGATATGTAGAAAAAAAAATAACTACCCTGCTTGCCCCTCTCTATTTGTAAATATAAATATATACAAATCATTATTTTAGGCAGGACTTAATTACTGCATTAATGCAATGGCAGTGTTGTATTATAGATTCTCCCTGTAGACAAACACATATGCTGGAATAAACCAGAAACAACATTTCAGGAGACAATTTAGAATTCTACAAGCCATCTGTTTGTTTTTTTAAACTACCAAGTACAATGTTCTGTTGTAAAATGCATGGACACAATACATACCTTGCTTATCAAATTATGGTGAATTTCGACAATGGCAAAACCATAGGATAAAAACTCCCATGTTTTGCCATAAATTGTAGTTTTGTCACTCATTTCTAAATCATAACAAAATAGGGAAATGTTGTTACTGATTCATTTTAGCAGATCAGATCAACTTGAGCTAATCTAGCTTGCCTGGAATACTTCCACGTCTGGCTACAGCATTCTTCACATTCACCCTATGTTCTTCTTTTCGTTTGCTGCTTTTCTTCCTACCCTCAGTACTTGACTTGCTAATACTACTCCGACTGCTAGTACTACGAGTACTTCTTTTACCCTCCAAGCTTAGTAGATCTTCTATACTACTCTTGTCGCTACTTGTACGGTGCAGATTTTCCAGAGTTGTGCGATGTAAATTTTCCAGACTTGATCGCTGACTGACAGATGTCAGGTTTTCCAAACTTGACCTCTGGCTGTCAGTTTGATTGTGAACACTAAATGGTTTACGAGCAATGCTAGACAAAGACCCCTCTTGACTGGATATACTGGATCGGATGCTAGAAGTGTCACTATCACTTTCAAGTTGAAGCCACTTGCTAGTGTTCATGGTATACTTAGAAGTACTGCCCACAGAACTGAAAATCAAAGAGGAAGAAAGCTTAGAAAGAATTCCTGTGTGCTGAGTGAGGTATTGGAGGGAGAAGCAGAATTAGGGAATATTAAAAATTAGTCTTTAAAAGAAGTCTGTTGAATAATATAGCTGACTAATATTGGCCTAATTATTGACTCCATATAAAAAATCTCGTAGTGTACATCTGTGAATACAATCAGTCAAGAACAAAAATGTTTAGATTATTTGACATCATTACAAAATGTCTAGAAGTTGTGTACAACAGGAGTGTGGACGTATATGACACCATTTTGAATATTGTTTGCTAACTCCAATACCAAGCATTATTACATATGTACTGCAGTTTATTTTGATTCGGCCCTGAAATCAAAATC